TGGAGATTTAAAGGTGTGCCATCCTCAGCCAGTAAGAGTCTTCTGTGACAATAAAGCTACTATACATATAGCATCAAATCTAGTATTTCGTGAGAGGACTAAGCACATCGAGATAGATTGTCACTTCGCTCGAGAGAAGTTGCAGAATGGATTAATCAGCTTGTATCATGTAAGGACTGCCAGTCAAGAGGCAGATATTTTGACTAAGGCAGTAGGACAAGAAAGTTAGTGAAGAATGTTGAGCAAGTTAGGAACTATAAATATATACAGTTCCAAACTTGAGGGGGAGTGTTAGAATTCCCTTTTGTTCTATATTGGGCTTATTTTCAAAGCTCATTTTCTATATCTGTTATAGGGTCTATATATGTAGACCTTGTGGCTTGTAAAGTTTTTGGAATGTGTATGAGTTTTCAGATGAATACAACAGATTTTTTGTTCTCTCAATTTTCCTGGGCTTCGTTTAACATGTCCCTAATATGATCTCCACGAATAATGTAACTTTGTTTTTTTTTTTTTTGACCGGAAATAATGTAACTTTGTTTCGGTGTTTACAGAAGTTGAGTTATTTACAATCAAGCAATCAACTGGTCGCATAGTTTGTGGCTGAAATAGACATACTGTTCATGCAAGCAAAAGCCTTGTTTTTGGTTGGCCCTTACATTTTTGCCACTTTAACAAAACAAGAAGTCTTTTAACTCATCGCAAGGGACAAAAAAAAAGTTTCGTTGTTTTGCGAGGGGAAAAAAAAAACACATTGAAGTTTTATTCTCTTAAGGCCAATGCTGCCAATTGGCTACCTTACAGAACTGGTCAGAAATTGTTTGTAAAGCTTGATTTTTTTGACCAGCAGTTTGTAAAGCTTGATGTTGATGGTTTTCATGTAGTCTCACTTTATTAATGGATTTGATCCTCACTTTTCATATGGCAATTAGGCATATTTGACTGTCATGATTCTGTAAAATACTTTTCAATCGTACATATTTTAATAGCATGAAGTCGTATGGATTATTTTGTTGTTCTATCCTCCACACCAAGGTTCATAATCTAGCAAGATTCTTTTATTGTTTTGGAATCTTAATTGGGCTTATAAATTTGTTTTATGTTGTCACAGTTTGCTTTGTAATTGTCTACTGTTATTATTGTTGTCACGAGTAGTGAATTAATATTTGATTTTTTTTTTATACAAAAAAGTGCTTGCTACCTTATCACACTTGGAACAATATTAACTTTAATAGAAAAATACCAATGTGCAACCAATAAGCTATTGGTTGAGGTAGTAGTGATCTTATTCCCATAAGAAAGAGAATATAAGCTTAAATCTCAGGAAGTGTGCTTATTGGGAGGACTGTTCTTTAACTGCTCCCACCTAGGAAAAAATTAGTCTCAAGAAAAAATATACCAATACGTAATCCAATAAGAGAAAGTGACATAGGAATAGATGGAAGTGGTTTCGTTAGTCATTTATAACGATAAGCACCAAAATATGTATCGTCTAGATCTAATATGAATTGTTTATATTTTTAAAATTTTTTTTAATGTGTACCTACTTAAAAATAAAAATTTATGTTTGTTTTTAATTTAGATGAAATCATGAAAATTTCAAATTTAGACCATTAAAATTATATTCAAATAGTGAAAATCTCACCATAATAATAACTTATTATAAGCCTAAATCCTAAATTCTAAACTGCAATGATCGTTGCTTTGAAAGGGGTTCCGAAATAGATGGACCCTTGGGAGGAACCTATCCAGCTCATATTTTACTCTTTCATCTTGTTCATCGAGCAAGTGTTATGTACAGTAAAGAGCCAGGATCCCTTGCTTGGAGAGCTCTATCTCGGAAACATGGCGGAAAAACTGGAGTTCTTGCTTGCCACCGTTGTTTCTTGCATCAAAAAAATATGAAAAATACTATTATGCCCTTTGATCCCTTACCTGATGTAAGTTAAAAAAAAAAATCATATTATCTCTGATTTTTAATGTAAGAGTTAGTCAATTAACTCGGAGATATTAAAAAAATTAGTAAAATTAGTTATTTATCACAAATATATATTGATATTCCTAAACTATGTTTTTCAATCATGTATAGTAGATGGTCGAATTTATCTGGGAATCTCTTAAAATCAATAGGAATATTTAAAAAAAAAAAAGAGACAACGTGAATTAAAATCTTATATATAGGATCAAATCCAACTCTTCTAGTAGCTTTTATACTAATGATGGAAGATATTATTCATTAGCTTTGAAAAACAAAAAATCCTAATCCTAACTTCCGTCAAGTCTGTTTATTTATAGTTCCAATTTAAAGTTGGCAGGCAACTGAAACTAGATACAGAATCCTACATTTGGTTATTGCCCATTCGCTTAGTGAGATTTTTTTCAAATTATTTGTCAACTTTTACTTATTATCTTAGAGAGAAAGGTCAAGTTACGTTCCTAACATTGTGCCGCATATCACTAAAGGATTTTTAATTAGGCTATAAGTAAGATTCTGCATAAATATCTGCTTTGATTTCCATGATTCCATCTTATATGATATTTATATAAAATACGGTCCAAAACTATAATTAAGAAAAATGTAAAATAAAGTCATTAAGTTGATGACAAAGTTTAAATACTCAATCAATGAGAAAACACTCCCTCAATTATAAATATAAAACCTAGTTGTGAGATTTATTTTAGTGTTAATGTATATGAGGCCTCACATTTAATAGTAATACCCTCATTAAAAGATTAGTATTTTAGAGAAGGTGATACATAATTTTTTTTTTCACATAATAATGACAAATAATTTAAATTAGCTAGTTTTTAAATTTTCATAAATTATTTAATTAAGTCATCTATATATATGTATAAAGATAAGATATAAAAGGAAGTAAAGTAAGACTATTTATAATAATTTTTTTTAATGAGAAGCTTTAGGAATTGAGGGGCTTATTTTATTACTGACACGGTCAAAAGAATATACTTTTTGATTGGCCATATATGCAATATATATTCGCAGAAATATAAAATAAAAATGTCTGGTATAAAATATATTGCCGATGCCATAAACATCGGAAAGGAATGGTTACCATCAAAAGTGGTCCCTAAGCTTTCCGTTAATTTGGCTATGGCGCTTTCTGTCGGTGGCCTCTTGCTTCCCCTCCAAAAATGTGAAACTAATTAATGGATTTATGAGCTTTAAATTTTATCGTTTAAAATTGTACTTAGAGTATATATTAGTACGATTTCACACTATCTTTCAAAATTATTCTAACTAACTGGCCTAAAAATTTATTATAGGCTAAAATATACACTTGGTCCTTTAATTTTGCATAAGATTTCAATTTGGTCCTTTAACTTAAAAATATATATTTTTAATCCTTTCGCTCTTATTTTTTTTAAAAATGATGAGATTAATATCTTAAATATTAATAAAATATTTTTAAATACTAATATATTAAGTTTAATTTTCAAAACATCTATGATCATTACAAAAAAATATCATTGAAGCCTAATAATTTTAAGATTAAATGATCAAATGTATGCTTTTTAAAGTTAAGGAACTAAATTAGAACTTTCTACAAAGTTAAATGGCTAAATATATACCTTAGTCTTTATTGTATCTAGGCACATTTAAAATCATTTTAAGAACAAAGGATATTAGAATTATATAAATATTCTTATTCTTGAAATATATACCTTACGGAAATAAATAATGTTTTTGTAATTTACTGAAGATGTGCATTGCTTATAATGCCGTTGTTTTAGATAGTTATGCTCAGCCCAAAAAATAAAAGTTTTAAATAGTAAATTAATTTATAAATTTTTATTAATATTTAAAAAACTGATACACTTGTTTTAATGTTAAATTTTGTGTAATTTAAAAATATTTTAAATCTCTATACCTTTTTAAAAAAGTAGTAATAATTTTTTAATTTTAAATGTCTACTAGTATATGTTTGTGCAGGGAAGAGAAGAGACACTACGGCAGTCGTTATTATTGTTATGGTAATAAATTAATAATAATAATATAAAAAGTGGAGCTAATGATGTTGATTCCTAAAGTAATGCGACCTCGTCTGGCGATGAATCTGCCTTCTTACTCGTGCTCGATGCCATCATTTAATTAATTTATTTATTCTTATTTAATTAAACTATGGAGAATCAGATGGAACCTATTGAGATAATAATTTAAGAATCAATCGGTATCAGCTCAGTTATAATTCAAATAATATAATTTAATTAAAACATACAAAAAATATTCATAAATAATATTAAAAAATCTAAACAAAAAAATAATCCTAAAGTTAATAGAACATCAACGATATGTAACTTAACAAAACAGAATTATCGGCAAAAACAAAACACAAATATAATTTTCTGCTATTTTTCTAAAACTCAAAATTCATTTCAGATTTAAAAATATAATTAAAAAAGAAATATAAAATTTTCATTGAAAACTTTTAATTAGACTAGCTATGGATTGGTTCACAGTTTGCACCAGTTGAGTTTTAATACTATGCACTTCACTAATACAATTCAATTCAAAATAAATCACATTATTTGAGACTTCATTAATACAAACTTTCTTTTTTTTGGTGAACTAATACAAACTTTTACATATTTTCTTCAAATATTTCGATTTTTTTTGCCCAGATACAAATATGTCGATTTATTGTCTTTAAGAGACATTTTAATTTTGAAAAAAAGGAAGCATAAAACCTATTTTTAACAATTTAATTTTCTTTGAAAAATTTTAACAGTTTAATGTACCAGAAAGAAAAAGAAAAAAAGAAGAAGAAAACTTCTCAAATCAGGTTCGTTAATATTATTCGGAGGAAAAAAGGATTTTCATCAACCCAAAAAAAATAATTGAAAAGTAAAAATACCTTCAAGCTATATTTTGCAACCTATTTTGTAATTGTATTAATTAATTATAATTAATTAAGCATGGAAAAAACTTGAAACTTTATATAGGCAGGCAGAGGCTGTGTATTCAGTGTGGCGGAAATGAGTCAAAATCCTTGAGAAGAGAAACTTAAAGGAGGCAATTCTCTTTACCAAACCACCACCACCACCACCACCGGTGCCACCGTTTCATCTCTTTATTCTTTTCTCCAATTTCTCCGATTTTCTCTCCTTCTCCTTTCCTCAAGTCAAAATTTTCTCTGCTCAATTCCACTACTGGGGGAATTTTCCCCTCCAGCTTTGTTACCCTTTCATTTCCCCAGCTGGTCACTATTTATCTGTATGTGTGTTTGTGTCTCTGAACTTTCCTTTCCGAGATCGTAGATCTTGGTGTCGGTGGTGGTCGATCGGAGTTCATGTCTCCGTCGAATGGTTTGCAGAACGGAGGGGTGGGAGGTGGTGGACTCAATTATATAGAGCATCGGGTTTCCAAATTGGACACTCTCGCCGGTGTGGCCATCAAGTATGGTGTTGAGGTACTATTGTTCATTTCCAAATTTATTGGGCACTTTTCTTGTGATTTTGAAGAGTCTTGTAAATTTCCGGGGTTTTTATTGACGTGTGTATGGGTAATTGCTCCACCAAAATATGCAATTAGTGAAGTGTTTTGTTATTTTCAGTCGCTGACGACAAAGATAAAGATTCCATGCGCATTTTGCTAAATTGTTTAAAGTTGATCTGGATTTTTGGAAGGATGCTGTTTAATTGGTGTTTTCATTGCTAAGCTGATACAATGAAACACTTGAATCTTCGTCCAGAAGAAGGAAAAATAATCTGAAACGATTCAACTAGCAATTTCTCATTAATTATGCAGATGTGAGTGCAAGGTTTTTTAACAAGTTGAAGACGAAGATAAAAATGAGATTTTTCGCACTTCGTAAAATTTCTTAAAATGGTCTAATTTTTCCGTTTTACCGGAAGGATGATGGTTAATTTATACTTTTATGACTAAGCTGCGGTGAAAGAGTCGCTTGAAACAATTCAATTAGCGACTTGTCTTTATTCTTCTGTTTTCGCTTCTCTGGTACGTTGGGCTATCAGCGGAATTAAAGTGTTTGGAGTACTGGATAATAAGGAAGGGAACAAAAGAGGAGTTATTGTGGAAGGAAAAGTGACGAAAAGAGTCTATTCTTTAAATTCACTCCCAAATATCTTGTTCTTTGAAATGGTTAAATTTTTATGCTTTGCACTAGATGAATGAGTTATTGATTGCTAAAGTAATAACGTACCCTAGTTGATGAAAATTTCTTGCCATGATTTAGGTAGCTGACATTAAAAAGATGAATGGGTTAGCCACAGATCTTCAAATGTTTGCAATGAAGGCACTGAGGATTCCACTACCAGGGCGACATCCGCCATCATCCAGTCAGCCTAATGGATCTTCCAAATCGAGGTATAGATATGCTTTCGTTTCTTAGTTCTAGCAATAATTAAAATCTTCCCGTCTTGAAAGCTTTTGCATTGCCCGCTTCCCATTATATATTTAACGTAGAATTTTTCTTATTGCTAATTCACCAACATGCTAAGTGGTCAAACAATCCACTTCTTTTAGAGTTTGAAGGCATATCCTGTTTCTTTTTATTTGATTGTGTTTAGTTTCTTCCCCATGAGTTTTGAAGAGAAATTATAAAGATAAAATTTTCAGTTCTGGAGCTAATTTATCATATGATTCATCATTGGCTTCGCAACAGAACAAAGATTTCCCTTTGATGGACCATGCAAGTGCTTGAACTATTTCTTAGCGGGCAAAATTTGATATTGCTGGAGCACTAGTCATTGTTTCCTCTGTTTCTTTCTTTGTTCTCTTTTTTCTGGTCTTCTCCTCAAGGATACTGTTGCTATAGCTTTCATCATCGTCTGCATTTTTATGGATTGTCTTTTCACAGAAAACATTTTGTCCCCGCTTATATCTGCTGATAATCCTGACTGTGTTTCTACCCTTTTTGAAATTTGTAACGTTACCACTTGGGAACTTCTTAGCCTTTCTGTCGGTTTGCATTCTTATCTGGACTGCATATAGTTATTGCCTATTGGTTTTATTCTGGAGTCTATTGCATGCTCCAATGCTTTAACATGTTGTCACTTTGTCATTTAATTGAATACCGCCATGCTTAATTTTTTGTTGAATTGTATGAATTTAATATGCTTGTTCGGAAATTTTCTTCCTTTTTGTTTTTGAATAAATGAACTCAATTAATTTCACGTGGACATACATTGCTTAAAGTTTACTTTATTTCTTTATCACATAACTTCACTTACCAGTTTACTGAATTTGAAAACTTTAAGGAATTTAAAAATTCATTTTTACTAATTTTGCAGGGATAATAGCCCAGACAGGCGACCTCCTCGTATAGGTCAATCTGGCATGCAGGAACCTTTGCAGTCTTTAAGACTGAAAGCTCCCCGGCAGAGCACGTCACCAGCAATGACTACCTTACAGGAATACTATGGGCTCAAATCTTTAAATCCCAGGGGTACATCTGAAGGAACGGAAATGGCAGTATATTCATCTGCTGGTTCAAATTATTTCAGAGAGGAATGGCTTCCCAAAGCCTCACCAATGTCAGATGTGCCACCCGATTTACTAACAGGGAACAGTGCAGTACCTGAGTATGTGCCTCTTGTAGAAACTTGGAATGGAGGAGGTGACAAGTCAGAAGAGAAATCTGTCCGCAGGCGACAGAAATCTGAAGTTGATAGTGGAGCTGGTACCCCAGAAAAGCTATTGAAAGAAGAAAACACTGGTGGGGCCAGTGGTTTCTCTCCTTCAACAGGGAAACGTTTGGCCATGAGGCCAAAATCAGCTAGCAGAACTCTGCTACATTCTGATTCTGAGTCAGGACCTTTGGATTCAATTCCTGTAGGCCTCGGAGAATCTATAATGATTGATGGACTTTCTACTGTGCATAAATCTTCAAGTACATCAAGCCTCAAAGAGCAGGAGAAGAATAGCTCAGCAACAGTCTGGCCAACTGGATGGAGTTTGAAACCAGACTTGCAAGCTCTTTCAACTGCTGCTATCGCCAAACCCATATTTGATGGCTTACCTATCCCAATAACCGGTCGTAGGAGCAAAACTGCCCTTGATTAGGGTAATTCATTCCCATTCTTTGAGCCAATTTATTTTTTGACACTGTATGAACATGAGGCCAAAAAGAAAAAAAAAGAAAAGAAAAAGAAAAACCAAGATGTGCATTTCTTTCGGTTGAGCAAACTTGTGGAAAGAAAAGGAAATCAAAATACTGGGTTAGGATATTTATTTCAGGCATAGAATAACAAGAGATGGATGTTCTCCCTGGAAAGGAAAAGGATGGTGGCGGAGGTGCAGCTGGGGAAACACTTCCGTGATAAAGGGCTGCAACTAGTTTCTGGCAAGTGTACCAATAATATGACTGCAGTCCTTCCTTTATTCGTAGTTCGGTTAGATATCAAAGTGGAAAATGAATTTTTAAATAGATGGAATCAAGTTAAATGTCATTTTGTCCAGTTCATCATTCATTCTTATCCGAATATGTATCTATCATGATTTATTGTTGAGACCCTTTATATTTGCAACCATGTGGCCTCGGTTTCCATTTTTCTTTTTATGATTGCTACTAGGGAATCTGGTCTATGTATTTCACTATTCAGATTGCAATCTATTTTTAAAGCGGGGGAGTTCATCTGCCATTCTGCCTTATAAGGCAGTGCCCTATATAGGTGCCCATTTTGGTAATTTCCTTGAGATGCGTGCTCTTTTAATTGAAGGCATTGCGTTACCTGGAACGGGATTTGATTTTACTTTATACTATTGTATTCTTATGCACTTCTCTTTTCCCCACAAAACCTAGAATAGAAAATGGAGAATCATCAGTTTTAATTTGATAATTAGAGCAAATTTGATTTCTTTTTCATATTTATGAAAATGGATGTATATAATGTATTCAAATAAAGATAGTGATAGATGAGATGGGAAAAAAATACAACGAAAGAAATGTTGATTTTACACAGTTGCAGTTTGTTGTCTTTTGTTGCATACCTGCTTATCTCTTAAATCAACTCAAATAGTAGATTAGAAGTTTCCAGGGTGTTTGGCGGATTTCAGTAACATTGGATTTGATTTGTCACCTAACATGTGTCATGGTAGTTTCATTGCTATTGTACTACTTGCCTTACCCACCACTAATACTGCCAAATGATTATTTATTGGTCGGGTGATCTTTATTTGAAGCTTTTTATCTTCCATTAATATGCAGACGTTTACACATGGGAATGTTATTGACATGTAACTATCAAATGGCACTAAGCATTAATTTCATTCAGCCTTTTGAAACTATTTTGTTTACTGCTGCATATACAGTGAATGCATAAAATTTTAATATAAACAATATTACACACACGCGCGCGCATATATGACGCGTTATTCACTTGGGCACGAGCCTTTTGTAAAAGAAAACAATTCCTAATGGGAATGAATCCCCTGGTTGCTGGTGTTCTCAGATTTCTTTCTTTTCTTTTCTTTTTGGCTTTTTCAGTAGAGGTGTTTTCAGCTTTCAATACAACATTTGGAGGACGGTTCAGCTTTTAGTTATTATTTTTATTTAATGGTTCCATTTAATTATGTTTTTTCTTTCAACAAAAAAAAACTCAGCTTGTATTCATGTTGCGCGATCTAGTTGTCTTTTATCCATGTATTTAAGATTTGGAATTTGATTTATCACATGATTGAATTCGTGAAGACGTTATAGAAATGCATTGATAAATAGAGAAGGATTGAAAGAATCATAGGTGGCACAATAAATCCTTGTCACTGATAATTAAAGGTCGCCATTTTCTTTTTTTAAAAGCATTTAGCATTTATATTATATTATACTTGTTTTCTGAAGGGTTAAGCAACACAAATGAACCCTTCATCTTGAAGGTTTTGAGATCTCACAGTTTTTAAAATTTTTAATCCTCAATTTGTTTCTTTTTTATATGCTCAAGGAAGCAAAAATAAATGAGCATAGATAATCGTTTAATTTTAATTTTTCTATCAGAAAAACCGTTCCATTTGGTCTTCATCATGTTTTGTAATTTGCTTCCTTCCCAAATGATCAAATGCCTGGTTGGGATCCCTATCCAACGGGTGGAATGTGACATAAGAGGTCCAATTGTATAATGAACCACCAAACAATGCATTGTGTAAGTTCCTTTGACTACGAATCGACGGCATATCAAAGAAGTGCTTGCAGAAGTATTTCTGAACTGAATTCTAGGCATGCTCACTTCAAAAATTAGTCTACATTGAATCTATGACAAAACCAGCAGTCTTTGAGCTGTTGAGTTTTTTCACTACAATACGGTAACTTCCCACAGGAGGAAAAAAAATTCTCTCTCTCTCTCTCTCTCACACACGCACACCCCCCTCCTATGGAGGAGGGGTCAAGAGTTAAAATTACCACCTATTTTTAGGTGGTTTTACTTTATAAATACGAACTATCCAATTCTGTGTGGTGAATGCCTCTTCCAAGTACTCAAGTTTGATGTCTTTGTTTCCAATTTCAACTCCTCTAGCTCGGTCATACCTGCCATTTCAAAATGAGTATGTACACACACACACACACATTTGCATCAGTTGAACATAATATTTTCAAGCAGCCACAACAACACAAATTACTCCCTCTTGGTTTCAAAACTAATTCAAGCTGAAAATTGTCCCTAGACAAAAGTTGTTACTAGCTCACTGGCACATTCATAAACAAAGCATGCTACCTTTGATAAAAGACCGAGGTTTTAATTCCAGAAGATTAGGGACAACCGGATTAGAGCCCAGACAAACGTACTCAGTATGCCTGTTTTAAAAGAATTAAACAGAAGGATAGAGGGCCCTCCCCCCCCCGGCCCCGGGGGGTGTGGGGCGGAAGAAAGGATGTGATATTCAATATGAGCACCTCAGTCTCTACTTAGACATGAACAACCTCTTGAACTTTTATTCCAGCTTTTTCTCAAGTTATTCGCTAACCCTTAGTTACTCATTAAAACAATATTGCACCAGAAAGTAGAGTCATGACTGAGTTTATGCAACAAGTTCAAATACCTTTGTTGATCAGAAAGAACTTCCAGTACTGACCTCAAGGCTGAGGTAAAAACAGCCAAGGAAAAGATGTACATGGCCTCAAAACTTTACATCATGACTTATCCCATGTCCTTGGTTCTAACATTGATCCTAAATGATTTACAGTTCACACAAATGTAAACAAGGAACAGCACTCAAACTTACGAACCAAGGACGCACTTAAATATGAAGAATCTATATTCACTAGTTACATCATTGAAGGACAAACCAATACCATTGATGATACTAGTTTTATTGCGTCAACAAAGTTCATGTGAATACTAGCATAGATGAGGATCCTATTAGAGAATACCTGAATCTTATGTGGAATAATAGTATGATGGGCCCTATTCTAATTGCTAGGACTAACAAAACAAAAAGAGAATGCAAGGGAAAAGAACAAAGAGCTGTCCCTCGAGGTGTGCCCAAGAGTAATTAGTGTGTGAAAGTAGCGCGTGAGTTTGGTGAGAGGAGCGGTGGTAGCAGAAGCTTTTAGAGGCTTCTTGTGATGGAAAAAGGTAGAAAAAGTCGGGGGATAGGAAAGCCTCGAGGCCCTCAAGTTAGAAAACCTATTGTTTCTTGTGCTCTTTCTTTCATATTATGACTTTGCAATTTGAATACCTCATCTTTGTATTTGGAGCACTCAGACCTCTGAATATCAGTAAAACAACGAAGGATCGTAACGTCAAATCTAAAAAGCATAAAACTTACCCAGGTGGCTTTCCATATTCTGTTGTCATCTCGCCAAACCGATAGTAACAGAGTTTATACCTAACAAAAAAGATGAAAAAATAATATTAACTCACTGCGTATCAGGAAGTCACACCACATAGCACGTATCAAATTATGTCTCTGTACATATAATTATATTAAAATATCTGTAGAAGTACATTTCCCTCAACATTTTAAAACCCCTCTTTTTTAACAACTTGACACCTTGATCCAGGTTGCTGAAGTATTAAAATGCCAAGTAAACATATATACCAAGCCTTAGACCTAGACCAAAGGGGAGTTTATGTATTCCAAGTCCAACTAAGGCCTTTCCAAGGTGAAGCAGAAATTCTGAGCAAACTTGAAAATTCCTGAGAGCATAGTCCAACTTCAGCCTTTTCGAGTTTAGATCATACTTTAAAAATCGACCGGAATGTATGTTGTTGCAAAATGAAAATCCTTGACTTCAAAGACATCTAATTCAACCGGCTTTACCAGCCTTGCCCAATTATTATTATCCCTTCATTTCCTTGTCTTCCCATTCCCTTTCTGTCAGTTTAGGGTTTGAGAGGAGAAAACGAAGATTGCTATTTGTTTGACACACTGTTACATCAATCTTAATCATTGGCAAGAGACCAACACTTTTGATTTCATCTGATTCACTTAGCTAACAGAACACAGCCACTTACACTCAATATTATCTCGCGTACTTACTTTACCCGGATATTTACCGAATATGTGCTTCAATGTTGATAGACACATTAATAAAATAATATGTGCAAGTTTTGATATGATATTATTAATTAATATCTGTGTTATTTAATTTATATGTCATTAGAAAAATAAAGAATGCCAACAATGTAACACAGATTTTAAATTTGCTACGATAACTAACCAGGTTCGGGTGCTGACAAATACTAGAAGAATAAACTACAAAATTTATGGACCCACGGTAATTCTAATAAAATCAAAACAAAATTCTAGTACACATAGAATGACTCGAATTAAAATGACAATTTAAAAGTCCAAGCCCAACAAGCAGTCTAAGAAACTCACATGAGACAGTTCAGCATCTTGGGGGCTGCACCTTTATCTACCCGATATTCTCCATTAACAAGGTAATCAGGCTCCTTTATTACAGGAAAAACTCCACCACCAATTCTTACCATCCACAGAAATCTACACAAAATTAAGAATACCGTGTAAAAAATGTAAGAAGCATTATAGAAGGGAAGATAACAAAATACTATCAGTGACAAGTAGGTGCATACAACGTCCAATCTATCAGTGCAACAAGGGAACCCATTGTGAAACCCTAAGATATTTGTCCAAACCCCAAAATGCAAACTGCTGATGAAGGGCCATGAAAACATAACCCCGCTCTCCTAGGGTCTTGCCATTACATTTTAAAACACACAACACACACACACACACACACACACAGAGCCCAAAATAAATGCATCAACATGGTTATAGAAGGTCAAAACAATCTTCTATTTTAAGGATAGTGTGAAGATAACAAAAGATAGCGCAGATCATAAACCACTAAAGATGAAAATGCTCAATACCAAAAACAAAATTGCTACATGCATAAAGTAATATTTAAAATATATTGGAGATCAAAATATAAAATTTATCAGATAGCCTTACTTGTTAATATCATCAGAAGAATACCCAGTAACACCACCGAAGACAACTAACACATAATCCGCGTTGAGCGATCTCATAATCTCATAAGCCTCATCCTCATAAGAAGACATTGCACGCCCAACAGTTGCTATGTGTGTATTGTTCCATGTGTTATTGTCAACAATAACAGTTCTATTTCCCATGGCAGTAATCTGGTAACCATAATCCCACCATGACATCACCTTAGCATCTGGTGGAGTATTCTGGCGCAGCCAAAAGTAAGCTTCACGATAATCATCGAAGATGACCCTATTGCCACGAGCCCCCTTGCAGCCAAGACAATTGATGGAGATGAATAAGCCTCTGATGTGACCCAGGTACAGTGAGTGGCATATCTACTGAGTAGATAGAAAGCACCAAGAAGTAACACAATAGCACCATTTCTTTGGAAAGGCTGGGAATGATCAACTACACCCTGTTGATGAATAATAATAAGCTATTTGATTTAATCGCATCACCACAATAACAGCAGGAAAGTGGCTTATTGCTCAAATTGAGAGATGAAACACCACCTTAACTATATAACAACCACAAAGATTCTAGTTGAAATTAGATCAACTAATGAAGTCCAAAATGAACTGCTGATTGCAATGAAAGAACATGGCAATAACTAAATTACCATATGTATTACCCATTTGAGTAACATTTGAATAACATCAAGATTCAATGTGCAACCATATTAGTTTAGAGACAACTGATTGTGTATATAATTCATGCACAACATTTAACACCACGCCATAAAGATTCACTAGTGGGCTGGAAGCTTAGAAAAGCTGAAAAAGGTATGATGCAACTCATTAGAAGAACCCCTTCTACACAAGTTCCTCTAAAAAATCTCACCTTGGATGAACCTTTAGTAGCACTAGTTCCTTTGGTAGAACCACCTTGGAAAGTTTTGTTTTTGCCCCTCACCAGCTGAGTCAAGTTTTTTACAGTGGCTGACACTGCAATAGCACTAATGACGCATACTGCAGGCGTAGCAACAAGAATCAATCGGACCATAACACCAGCAAAATACATGCTAGTAAGACCATACATAACTATAAATATTGTGGCATCTGACAACCTCTTGAAGCAAAAATAGAGCCCAGCAGGGAATAGAAATAGCAAGATATGGAAATCAAACATGAAAGATGACCACGCAGTTGGCTGATGCTCAGAGACTGATGCAATGATTGGAATATGGTCCTTAGCATATGTTGGATCAAGCAACGAGTAGAACCTGCCTGTCCATGGAGAAATATAACCAGATGCAGTGCCTATTCCCAAAGCAATAGCACCAACACTAACTGCACAAGCTACAGTGATCCTCAAGAAAGCTTGAAACAATTTTGTGTCACTAAGCAAATATCTTACCCAATCCAAAAAGTAAAATACCTGCAAAGATAATGCAAGTTAGCAATAAGAGAAAATTAATTTTATCAAGGAAATCTGAACCACCGATATGATCACAGATGCTAATTACTGGGAAGGTTACGCATGAAATCAAAGCTAGTCAACCAGCGGTAAATCAAATAAGAATAAAATAATTTAGAAGGATGTATTCATTCGTTCTGAATCTGGCCAGCTTTTTTTTTTTTTTTTTTTTTTTTTGGTGGGATAACCAGATTCACCCTTTACACATCATTTTTCGAGGAGAGAATTCATTTATCGCTAGCCAAAAAAAAAAAAAAAAGTAATTTAGGAGGGAAAAGAATGACAAACAAACAAAAACCCAATGTGAAAGGAGTAACTAGGCAAAACAACTGGAAAAGTGCTTTCTTCACGTAATTAAATCCCACTCTTAAGAAGAAGAAAATCCCATTATTGCAAAGAGTAGATACAGGTTCATAGGAACTACTAAAAGCATCATTAGGCAATACAGCAAGTACGCAACTAGGTACAAGCTTCTTTGCCATACTACATGCAACTCGATGAGGTGATAAAGAGAAATGAATCAAATGACAAGAAGAAACCTGCAGCAAGAAGAACACGCCCATGGCAGCCATATGTTCTCCTGACTGCACGTGCTGAAATCCCACAAATCGGATCTGCATTGCAAGCAGCATTCCCAACACATACATGCAATTATAGGCGATATACAGCCTCATCGAATACCTTCCCGTGATCAAAAGAGCCATCACATAAAGTGGGATCAAGTTAATTATAAACACATAACCACCCCAAGCCGATACCATGTAGAAGTAACCAAAAGCCGAAGCCAAAGACCATGCAAGAGACCCAGTGTTCACAGCCTTCACGAACAGGTAAAATGTTAACAACAAGGCGAAAATCGCAACACCCTCATTATCATATGATCCAGCCACGGACCTTGAAATATAACCAGGACAAATGGCAATCAATGCCGCAGCAACGAGACCAGCACCTGAATCCCAAATCTCTTTACCAAAGAAATAAGCGACCAATGTAGTATTCGATGCGAAAAATGGAGCTGTCAACACACAGACCTCTCGGATGTGAACAGCAAACCTCAAAAACCGCAAAACCCAGTAAATTATAGCGGCCGTAACCATGAGACCAGGGTAGAGAGTGCCTCCGATGATCCGTCCAAGTGGATACCAACTCTCAGAGTCAAACCAGTTCCAGAATTCATAAAAACCTTTCTGTGTCAAGAAGAGAGTAGTCCGGTAATTGAAGTACGGATCAAATTCATGGATCATAGACTCGTAACGCAGAACACTGAAAAGGCGAGTGATGAAAGCCAAGACATAGACGAGGCATAGAATCGTAACCCGAATCAGCAGCTCCTGCTGCTTGGTCTTGAGCTTAAAGCTCTTGAAAGAGATATTGTTCAACAGACTGGACTGTAAGGTGGTCGCCGAAGCCTGCATTGCCTCCGAACTGCTCTGGTTTTACCCAGATTACACCCACTTCTATTCAAGGGATCAACCCTCCCAACAATATCGGGACGAAATTAACTAAAGGGAATCAGCATCTTCAATTTCCCATAAGAAACCTCCGAGGAAAGTGACGAGTGAGTGGTTCAGAAACTACAGTGTTGATTGTGATTGGTATCCAATCTGAAGCTACAGTGTGGTACTTGGGGAAAAGGATGTTCAAGGATCTAGAAATGGGGGAACAGAGGATGATTCCGGCTTTCCCAGATATCACAATTGGCAATAGGAGAAGAATTTTCAGAAAGCGAAAGGCAGCCCAGAGATGCATAGGAGGATCCTACCAACCCAGTTACTATGGTGCCAAAACAAAAATAATACAAAACAAAACAAAACAAAACAAAAATTTAATCTTTATTTAAGAACGCCGAGGCTTTCGGTTTTTTTTTTTGGTACGAGAGGCTTTCGGTTTTGGAGCCAAGTGTTTACTAAGCACGTGCAACAACTCCTTGAAATGGGCCAGCCGGCTCTCTTTTGGGCCTATGGGAAAACCAGAACTGAAACAAATATATAAGGGCTCTTGTACCAGATTCTATGTATATGGGTTCAGGACACAAAAAAATTTGACCTCAGAATGAGTATTCAAATTGTTAGGCCTGGCCCAAAAAAAAAATTGAACTACTCTTCAGGTCCTTAATATAAAACCCATTTAACTAATTTGATTAGACTAAAAAATTTAAGTAAGTTAATTAATTATAAGAAATATGACACTTTTTTTTTTTTAAAATATCATAATCATCTTTCTAATACCTCTCTTTTTTTTTACTTGATTATGGTTGAAAGAGTATCCACAGGAATAATTTAGAGAAAATTAATAAATATGAGAAATTAGTCTTATATTTAAACTAAAACCAACTCAATAATTGGTCTTATATTAAGGACTGGAGGAGTATTTAATTAGATTTAGTGAAAAGAATTAGTTCCTCATGTCTTGACAGACTAAGATATTACTTCTAATATAATGATAGTCATAACACACCAAGATATTGCCTCCCGTGCCTCTCAAAATAAAAATAAAAATATTTGAAGTTTGAAGAATGTGTTGTGCAGTTCATGATTTAAGCTTGCTTTTGCTTTTAAATCGTTTTTGACGAATGTCCCAACAAAGGCATTCCTTACAATCTGTTTCAATACATGCGTCACCCCTCCTTGAACTCTTCACAGTTGCTCGTAGTAATGCTTCTTTCAGTGGTAAACATTTAGCCACGAACATAGCCCAGTTTCATTCTTTCCTATGCCTTTAGCGAATTTGCCCACATGATCCGTGTAAGAAATACCGACATTCAAGCTCCTCAATAATACAGAAGGACCATCACTGTTGGTTTTAACTGATCTGTTCCCAGAATTCACCCATCTGATGTTCATGAAAACTGGTGCCATACCACTCCCAGCCTTTCTTACTTCTTCAAGTCGCTAGAAGTCACCCACGATTCCCAACGCTTCTCATTTACCCGCCTTAGGTTTTACACTCTTCTGTTATGGCCGGCAACGGTTCTCCTGTTTAAGCGTTTGCCTACCAGGGGAGCCATGCCAATTAATATAACTGTTATGTCATTCTACTAGTCCATGGCTTAGAGAGAAAAACATGCCTGTGAATGATACATGCACCTTCAAAGCATCATAAATGAATTGGCTTGATAACAGAAGTGCAATGACAGAGATCGCCATAACTTACTCAGACGCACAGAATTACAAAGCAAACAACCTTGCAGAAACAGCAAGTTGAAGTCATTTAAAATTCATCACTAAGGGTGTGAAGGGCGTACAATCCATCACCAGGGAAACTGGAGATGACTGGGTGTGGTAAAAAAATTTTTTTAGTAGCCTCGAGGTCCTAAAATATCTTTTATTTTAACTTATCTCTCCTTGCTCAAAAGGGCAAAAAAAAAGAAGGAAAAGAGCCAATATAATCCACAAGAATCAAGTGTTTGCAACTTGTAGAAAAACCAAAGGCTTTGATGAAACTAAATGAAGTCAGATGTCCAAAACTCAAACTACTCAGCTAGGCCCCTCTGCTTGAAAACGTCTAGCATGGCAGCTCCAATTTTTGCAGGGGACTCCACCACTGTGACCCCAGCTTCCCTGAGAGTCTTGATTTTGTCTTGTGCAGTACCCTTACCACCTGATACAATAGCTGCAAAAGCAAAGGCAAGCAAATTGTTGAAGTGCAGTTACTATCAAACAGAATACAGCATAATGAAGAACTAACTAATTAAATACAGCATAATGAAGAACTAACTAACTAACTTTGAACTGATAACTCGTCTATTACTCTTAAGCATACAGAAAAAACTTAGTCATATATCTAGAACAAGAATTTATTAATTTTTCCCCCAAAAAGGGCATTTTGCTAATAGCCCTAGAGAAAAACAACTTGTGTGAAACACATATTAGACCAACACATTTGCACAAATAAATTGATAGGATCCAAGGAGGATAGAAAACCTACCCTTGAGAATGTGCAGTCAAGGAGGGAGACATACTCTTTCTTAAATACCAAATCAAGCAAATCGCACTACTCGGATGTTAAAACATATACTATCCAGTCCCTATCATCCAATAGACCTTAATGATACCAAATGGTAGAACTAAGGCATCTCATGTTACTTGATATGAGACTTAAGCATCCCATGCTACCCAGCCCCTATCATAAATCTAGCTTTCAGTTCAGCCAAACTGAGTTTTCCAACTTGATAGTGGTTAGGCTCTACCCAGAATATTAATACAGTGTCAATTTTTCAAACTAATAGAAGTTGCCTACATGAATTCTGTTTGCCATGGTAAGTCTTGAGCTTACAATTTTCTACACGACCCTAACTCCTATAAATCATATGACCATACCAGGCGAAGTTCAATCACTAATTCATTGACAATTGTAGAATGTTACCCAGGTTTGACAATTGATGGATATTACCTGACTCCAGGTACAAATTTTGATCTTCATCAACCAGAGGTAACCAAAAAGTAAAAGGGAGATTTAAATGAAAATAATGTAAAAATGGTTGGCAAAAGCAACAAAAAGTAGCATGTTATGCAAACAAGGTTGCCTCATCTAAGAACAACAAAAGGTATTGATTATCATAAGGACAGTCAATTAGACCGAATCTCTTCTTACAGATAAAAAAGAAAAATTCAACAAATTTAATTATTTATCATAGCGGACATCATGCATTAAATATATTTGCTATCAAATGCCAAGAGAAACAAAACTTCACAAGAGGATTTACCTCCAGCGTGACCCATACGACGACCAGGTGGAGCAGTTAATCCAGCAATGAATGCAACAACAGGCTTTTCAGTACCGCTTTCCTGTATTGTCACAAACAAAATCAATTTAAGAATTCATGTGCCGATATATTAACTAGTTAACTAAAATATAATAATAAATATGAGCACCTATGTTTCTCTTTTACTATAGAATAAATAGTAGAGCCATGTATATCATCAATTAAACCATCAACATAAAGAAGATTTAAATTGTCTTCACCAAATAAAAAAAATGACATATACGAAACCATGTTTACAAGCTTTCCCAACAAAATTACAACTACATCTCCCTCCAGAAATATAATAGATGACTTATTTTCCTTTAACACAAGAAAACCACCATATTGATGTTATGCATAAAGAACAAAATTTTATGCACCAATGTCATAAAATCAAACCTTAATTAATGCAGCAGCATCTTCTTCTGCCGTCCCTCCTATCTCTCCTATAAGAATGATACCTGAATTTTTTTTTTTTTTGGGGGGGGGGGAGGGAAGGTTAATGAGTAATTTTTTTTAAAAAAAAAAATTAAAGTATAAACGGTAATGCTTAAGCCAAAAGGGAAAAAAAAGAGATATAAACAACAACCAAACAAACAAACAAAAACAGGTGATAATATGATAATTCAACCTAACAAGCAAAAGACATAGGGTCAAAGGTTGAGCTCATTATGTCATACGACCTAATCCAGTTACATACAAAAAAAAAAAAATACTTTTCAAACATACTCATGTGCTTGAAAAGCATTATTACCTAACCTTATGCCATATATAAGAAATTTCAATGTGATAATAGGGCAAGTTGCCAGGAAAATATGATTTATGTCCTTTCCTTCTCTTTACCTATTTCCCAAAAGACAGAATATTCTATGCCAGATAAAAGATTTACTTCCAATGTAGTCTTCAACAAGAAGTTATCCAGAGTGGATGAAATTAGATATTTGGTAGTTCATAATGGCTTAATACGAGTGGATAGCTGTCCTTATACATCTGCCATGGTTTTTGCAAGCAAGCATTAAACAGACTACCA